GTACCCGGCCCCTGGCTCCATCCGCGTCTCCGGGGGGCCCAACGCACCAGAGGACCCCTTCGCGATCTGCCTGAGGTAAGTGGACGTGGCCACTTAGGGGTGTCTCGCCCCCAGACCAGAGCCACAGGTCGAGGAGCAGGGAGCGGAGGAGGAGGGCGACGTGATTTTAGGACGCGAGTTAATAAATGCAACAGGCAAGGCGGATTGGGAAACTACTAGCGTTCGTGTTTCCTACAGAGAGGAGACTTGTCCAAGACTGAAACTTGGTTAGGTTCTTCCAAACCCAAAACGGGCACCCGAGATTGTGCTCCTTAAACCTGGGTCTGAGCTCCCTCTAGTGGCTTCTTGTGAGACTGTTAAAGGAGGCTACAGGTGAGTCTGGAGTGAAACTATCATTCCTCTGCCCCACACTTGGGAATGATTTCTCCCCCTGGAAAAGCGAATGAGTCGTTCTAACACCCTGGATGCTAAAAAAATCAACAGAAATAACAACAACAACAACAAAGGTTCTTTCAGCTTTTATTCTTTTGTCCCTGAGTCCTCTGTAATCCGTATAACAAAAATGATAGCAGGACTCATTTTTACCTTAATTCCATTTTAATAAAACCATTTTAAATGACTAAAAACACAATTAAGATATAATTGTTATCTTGTTGATTGTTGCCTGAGGTTCACTGAACTAGGATCCAAATATGTACATCATGAAATAAGAAAACATTTATTTGAGCTAACTTAATTGTATGTAGTATCGGATTTTATTGTACTTATACAATTCTATTATGTGATCGTAAAATATCTAAATCGTCGGTTTAAACTCCACTCCCCCATACCTGTAGCCTCAGAGAATTGCTTTGTTTTGTTTTTCCCCCAGAAAGGAGTGTCATGAAAAGGAACAGAAAAGAGACTTCACTGTTGGTGAAAGGGGATTTTCCTTTCCTGGTTGGTGTTTTTGCTTCATGATTGGAAGAGAAGTACTTAGGTGCCGGAAGAGATACAATTGTAGTGTTACACAGATGAAGCTGGTAAAGAAGATATTAAAGTGCTTTCTATGTATTACAGTAGGCTGATGAGTAAGTAAAAGAAATGGATTTGAAATGAAGGGAAAAAATTTGATTTTGTTTTTAAATCACATTGGACTTTGAATAATTGTTAAGGATATTTTTCTCTCTAAAAATGGAAGAAGAAAATATTCACAAACTAAAAAACATAAGTTAAGAAGAAGAATTGAGTCTACTAAATCCAAGAATGCCAGTCACTCCATCACCAATGATGGTTTCCTATGTTAGGAATGACTCAATTTGAATTTTCAAGTGCTTTTTCTCCTCTTTATACCGTGTTTTGACTCCTCATTTTAAATAGATTTGTGTAAAGAAAGTAAATGCTGAATCATAGCATTTTTGACTATCTCACTGCTCCCTCCATGTTGTGGAAAATTATTATTACTTCTTGAAATTTTATCTGAATCAAAACTGTGCCAGGGACACAAATACACAGTGTAAGTTTTCTCTTTTTGGCAACAGCACTTGCTTTGAATGAGCTGGATGTCAGCTGGATTTCACAGCGCATAGTCTGTTTTATCAGACTTTTCATGTATGATTTATACTTGCCAGATAGGAAACATATTAAGCACTATGTTTGACATGTATGCCTGAAGAAAGGCTCTTCCCCATGGATCATGGCGTTAATGTTTACAGGACATTTCCTATTTTTAACATTAGTAATGTTTGGTTTCTCTACCTTAGAAGAATCCATGAGCAATTACTCTGAATGGGCAGTTTTCACAGACGATTTAGATCAGTTTAAGACGCAGAAAGTACAAGATGTCAGACCCAAACAAAAGCTGAGGCGAAGTATGCTACATCCAAGTTTATATTTCGACGCTGGAGAAATCCAAGCAATGAGGCAAAAGTCTCGCACAAGCCATTTGCACCTTTTCAGAGCTATCAGAAGTGCAGTAACAGTTATGCTGTCCAATCCAACATACTACCTACCTCCACCCAAGCATGCTGATTTTGCTGCCAAGTGGAATGAAATCTATGGTAACAATCTGCCTCCTTTAGCATTGTACTGTTTGCTGTGCCCAGAAGACAAAGTTGCCTTTGAATTTGTCTTGGAATATATGGACAGAATGGTTGGCTACAAAGACTGGCAAGTTGAGAATGCGCCAGGAGATGAGGTTCCAATTGGCCATTCCTTGACAGGTTTTGCCACTGCCTTTGACTTTTTATATAACTTATTAGATAATCATCGAAGACAAAAGTACCTTGAAAAAATATGGGTTGTTACTGAGGAAATGTATGAGTATTCCAAGGTCCGCTCGTGGGGCAAACAACTTCTTCACAATCACCAAGCTACTAATATGATAGCATTACTCACAGGGGCCTTGGTTACAGGGGTAGAAAAAGGATCAAAAGCAAATATATGGAAACAGGTTGTAGTGGATGTGATGGAAAAGACAATGTTTCTATTGAATCATGTGGTTGACGGCTCTTTGGATGAAGGTGTGGCCTATGGAAGTTACACAGCTAAATCGGTAACACAGTATGTTTTTTTGGCACAGCGCCATTTTAATATCAACAACTTGGATAACAACTGGCTAAAAATGCACTTTTGGTTCTATTATGCTACCCTTTTGCCAGGCTTCCAGAGAACTGTAGGAATAGCAGATTCCAATTATAATTGGTTTTATGGTCCAGAAAGCCAGCTGGTTTTTTTGGATAAGTTCATTTTAAGGAATGGAGCTGGAAATTGGTTAGCTCAACAAATTAGAAAGCACCGACCCAAAGATGGACCAATGGTTCCTTCCACTGCCCAAAGATGGAGTACTCTTCACACCGAATATGTCTGGTATGATCCTCAGCTCACCCCACAGCCTCCTGCTGATTACGGTACTGCTAAAATGCACATGTTTCCTAACTGGGGTGTTGTCACTTATGGGGGTGGGCTGCCAAACACACAAACCAATACTTTTGTGTCTTTCAAATCTGGGAAGCTGGGGGGAAGAGCTGTGTATGACATAGTTCACTTTCAGCCATACACCTGGATTGATGGATGGAGAAGCTTTAACCCAGGACATGAACATCCAGATCAGAACTCATTTACTTTTGCCCCCAATGGGCAAGTTTTTGTTTCTGAGGCTCTCTATGGGCCAAAGATGAGCCACCTTAACAATGTATTGGTGTTCGCTCCTTCACCTTCGAGCCAGTGCAATAAACCCTGGGAAGGTCAACTAGGAGAATGTGCACAGTGGCTCAAGTGGACTGGTGAAGAGGTTGGTGATGCAGCTGGGGAAATAATCACTGCCTCTCAACATGGAGAAATGATATTTGTGAGTGGGGAAGCCGTGTCTGCTTATTCTTCAGCAATGAAACTGAAAAGTGTGTATCGTGCTTTACTTCTCTTAAATTCTCAAACTCTGCTAGTTGTTGATCATATTGAAAGGCAAGAAACTTCCCCAGTAAATTCTGTCAGTGCCTTCTTTCATAATCTGGATATTGATTTTAAATATATCCCGTATAGGTTCATGAATAGGTATAATGGTGCCATGATGGATGTATGGGATGCACACTACAAAATGTTTTGGTTTGATCATCGTGACAACAGCCCAGTGGGTAGTATACAGGAAGCAGAGCAAGCTGCTGAATTTAAGAAGCGGTGGACTCAATTTGTTAATGTTACATTTCAGATGGATTCCACGATCACAAGAATTGCATACGTCTTTTATGGGCCATATGTCAATGTTTCCAGCTGCAGATTCATTGATAGCTCCAATTCCGGACTTCAGATTTCTCTCCATGTCAATAATACTGAACATATTATTTCCATTGTAACTGACTACTATAATCTGAATACCAGATTCAGTTACCTGGGATTTGGTGGGTTTGCCAATGTGGCTGATCAAAACAAAATAACTCGATTTGGTTTGGGCACTGAAGCAATAGTAAAGCCTGTGAAACATGATAGAGTCATCTTTCCCTTTGGATTTAAATTTAATATAGCAGTTGGATTAATTTTGTGCATTAGTTTGGTGATTTTAACTTTCCAATGGCGATTTTACCTTTCTTTTAGAAAGCTAATGCGTTGGATACTAATACTTGTCATTGCCTTATGGTTTATTGAGCTTCTGGATGTGTGGACTACTTGCACTCAGCCCATCTGTGCAAAATGGACAAAGAAAGAGGCCGAAGCTAGCAAGAAGGCTCTGTCTTCTGAAGGGCACTATTTGGATCTTCCTGATGTTGTCATTACCTCACTTCCTGGCTCAGGAGCTGAAATTCTCAAACAACTTTTTTTCAACAGTAGTGATTTTCTCTACATCAGAGTTCCTACAGCCTACATTGGTATCCCTGAAACTGAATTTGAATTTGACTCATTTGTAGATGCTTGTGAATGGAAAGCCACAGATATTCATAGTGGGCATTTCCGTTTACTCCGTGGCTGGTTGCAGTCCCTAGTACAGGATACAAAAATACATTTGCAAAATATCCATCTACATGAACCAAGTAGGGGAAAAGTGGCCCAATATTTTACAATGAACAAGGACAAAAAAAGAAAATTGAAAAGGAAAGAGTCTTTGCTAGAACAAAGAAGTAGAATGAAAAGCTCCTTTGACAGAGATGCTGAATATATTAGGGCTTTAAGGAGACACCTGATCTATTACCCCAGCGCACGGCCTGTGCTCAGTCTAAGTAGTGGTAGCTGGACATTAAAGCTTCCGTTTTTTCAGGAAGTTTTAGGAACTTCAATGAGAGCATTGTACATAGTAAGAGACCCTCGGGCATGGATTTATTCAATGCTATACAGTAGTAAACCAAGTCTTTACACTTTGAAGAATGTTCCAGAGCACTTAGCAAAATTGGTTAAAATAGAAGGAGGTAAAGGTAAATGTGGATTAAATTCAGACTATGCTTTTGAGTATGAAGCATTGCAGAAAGAATTAGCAAGATCTAAATTGAATCCTGTCTCCCTATTGTCTCATTTGTGGCTAGCAAATACAGCAGCAGCCTTGAGAATAAATACAAATTTGCTACCTACCAGCTACCAGCTTGTAAAATTTGAAGATATTGTTCATTTTCCTCAGAAAACTGCTGAAAGGATATTTGCTTTTCTTGGAATTCCTTTGTCTCCTGCTAGTTTAAACCAAATATTGTTTGCTACTTCCACAAACCTTTTTTACCTTCCTTATGAGGGGGAAATATCACCAACTAACGCCAATATCTGGAAACAATACTTGTCTAGAGATGAAATTAAATTAATTGAAAACATCTGCTGGACACTGATGGATCAACTAGGATATCCAAAGTTTATGGACTAAATGCTGCAGGTCAGCAGAAATTTGCACTAATGCTTCCCAACCCTTTTTGTGGATATGAACTAGAAGAGTTTGTTTATTCTGGTATTCTGTGTGTGGGTATATGTGCATGTGTGTGTGCACGTGTGTGTGTGTGTGTGTGTGTGTGTGCGTGCATCTGTGTGGGTGTTTTCAGTCTGTTACTTGCACAGAGAAATTATTTTAAAAATAAGTGTCATATTTTGCCTAGCAGGATTTATTTTTATGTTATTGCTTTCCTTGCCTTTGTTTCTTAAATTTTTTCTGCTGAACTATTTGTCCTACATAGGTGCAGATGAAGTTATATTAATGGGGGTCCAGGGAGATGAGAAGATTTTAAAGGATTTTGTTTAACTCACCTTCATCTGTAACTGTGCTAATCTTTTTTGGAACCTCAAACGTTACTAAAAGGCCTTGCAATTGCTACTTTACCCAAGCATTTCTTTCTTTCAAAATGGACTGCAAAAGTTTCTTATCTTCTTGAAAAGATCTAAAACACTTCTGTCACAAAGAAAAAGAAAAATTCCTTTCACTTTGTATAATATTCAGTGATGTCACTGGGGAAATGGTGAAAGTTCCTATCAGAACTATAAAATTCCTTCTGGAAAATACAGATGGAAATTCAGAATAAAGATTTCTTTTTTAAGGTCAGACACCGCCTGGAAAAAGCCTCTTTAAATTTTTTACTTAGAAATACTAAGGACTAAGTCTGTGAACAGTCTGTGTGCGGAGGGATGGGAGATTATTTTAGACATGCCTGTCTGTTTAAAACTGTTCTTTGCCTCACTGAAACCACAGCTGTTTGCCATGACACCACTCCCACCCTGTCCTTTCTGTCACTCTCAAGCAAAAGAGTCAGTAATTAACTAATTGCCAAACCCCCAGTGTTTGTAAGGTTTACTTTCTCTGATGATTAATTTGGTATTAAACTGATACAGCCTCAAAACAAATATTTTTTGTGGAATTACCACTGTATAACTCCAGGCAAGTGATGCCACTGTTGTTATTTCTTGTAAGGTTGCTGGGGTTTTCTTTTTTTTGGTCTGGAAACAAAATTGGAAAACTGCCTGACTTATCTTGCATCCCTTTGAGTGAGTTTACAGACTGCCAATGTCTGCAAAAGTTGAAGGCAAATGGGAGATGATGTCAGAAGCATCTGTTTCCTTTACCATCTGCATTTGATTATAAATGTAGCAACATAAGAATGTGGTTCATTTCATTTTTGGTAGATTTTGAAATCAAAATGCTATGCCATTATACACCAGTAAAGTAATTGCAATGTATTGGATGAAGACTATCCGTCAGTGTTGAGTCAAGACTGGATGAAAATTTCTGTAGATTGCAGTCTTTTTCCTGATATTTCAGACTACAAACTGTAGTTCCCTCAAGCTCACCAACACTTGGAGTCTGTCACTCTGACCTAGATAAAAGTGGTTCTGTCTCCGTAGTTTGTTATTATGTCAAAATGTGCCTCCAGAGTGATAAAGCTGCAGATGTGTTACATTTCAACTAAACCTAACTTGGCTGTCATTTTTCTCCTATTATGATGTGAGTGGAATCCGTTCTTCTTCCTCCACACTAAAGCTCATCATTTTCCCTTTATGCTGTCAGCATGAATGAAAAATATGTTAATACACATTGAAGGAGCACTGAAAAATAAAATCAACACTTACTCTAAAGGAAAATTATTCTTTTGTATTTAGAGTTATCAACAAACACGTAAAATAGTTACATGGATGTAACACTCTTTCCATTATTGGTCAGAGTCTCAGTGTGTGTTTTCAGTTCCCAGGATGTGTGAATTTGAATTGGATAAAATAAAAAGGCTCTGGGTTGGAAGTAGTATTAGATCCAAACAAGATCAGAATTATAAATTCATGTGTGCAGCTATCACGGAACACAGGAGCAGCTACCATTGCCTTTCTTTGACCATTGTGTGGAAATGCACCTCCAAAAGAAGAGAACCAAATAGATTACGAGGAGGAATAGGGGAGGAAGAGATGTGGAAAATGAAAGAGCAGTTAGTTCTGAGAATTAAGATGGGAATATATGGATAGTAAATTTTAACTTTCATCTCAACATTGCAGTGCAGAGTTGAATTTACCTATTTCTGTTCTTATCCATTTCCACCCCAGGGAAATTTCAGACATCACCCCTACTAACATGACCCCTAATGTTAATTCTTAAATAGAAGGCTTGGTAAAGAAGACTTTATTGGGAAATTCTCCTATGAGGAGTGTTATGCACAGCTAAGGGGATAATGGATCTATTGCATATGTGTGACATCGGACTGACTCCCAAGACATTGTCAGATGCTGTACATTCAGGGTAATCTAGGAAAATTAATAGCTTCTGCTTATGTTTATTTTTATTAACTTGCAAATAAGGAAATATGATCACTGTCTAATACTGCTAAAGAAAAATTTTACAAAATGTCCTATCTGTAAAAGCCATGCTTTCATTAAAAACCTATAAAGTATATCACATTTCATTATATGTGAGCAAACAATGAGAATTTTAAAGTAGAAATGTTGTTTAAGTTGATTGATTTTGATCATAATTAGAAAAGTTTTCACTTTTTAGGAAAATACATAAATAAAAATGATGTTGTAGCACCACACGTAATGGTAAGAGTGCCTAATAGTCTAAGATATATGAAGACATAGAATGTGTTGACTCTTTACGGCTTATGTTTATGGTGACTAAATTTCTAATGTCTCTGACTAGTCATTATTCCCCTTCATTTTGGCAGAAAAAAATATCCAAATATTTTTATGAACAAATGACATCAAATTTTTGTACAAAGGATAATAGGCAGTTTGGAAATCATAGATTCTAATATCTACTCCCCAATACCCTGAAATTTTTAAATGTTTGAAATATAGTTTTTATAGATTTGTGTTATATATAATCCAAGTAACATATGCTTAATTGATTCTTTTTTCAAAGTTAGATTCAACTCTCTTCCAAAACATGAGAAGTTCTGTTTGCTTTTATTTTTCTTTATCACCTTATCCAGTTACACCACAAAGAAAAGTAGACTGAAGATTATAAACTAGTTTATCTCATATGACTCACTATAAAAATAAAAAAAAAAAACTAAAAGCAACTTGACTAGGATTGGAGTAATTTTGACATGCCCTTCTTATTTTAGGTCTTTGAGTAATAGTGTTTGAAAATAGTGACAAATTTAATGCCCTTAAACCATTCCACAAATTCAGCCAATAAATATGACTTCCCCTGAGTTTTTCACCATAAACACTTGACCAATTCCAAGTCCTGGCTTTCTAATTTTAAAGTGGTAGGGTGGCCTTTTCTTCCCACCATCATCATTGGCATGATCCTCGTTCAGCGTGGTACTGATAAAAAGGGGAAACTATACAAGTGACATACTAAATAAGTGCCTTGAGTAATAGGCATAGTTCAGACAAAAATCAATTGTCTATGAACCCTCCCAGTGAAGAATTTACAATCTTTCTAGAGATTTTGAAACCATTAGAACTCATCAGAAAGAGGGAAGAAGGAGCATGCAAGATAGTGACAGTTACTTAAGGAAAGTCAGCACAAAGTATCCATTCTGTCATAGTATGGTTTCTTATTTCTGAAACAGAAGGTAGTTATGAGGAAATAAAAGTTTATTGAGTGAGGCAAAGGTAGGATTGCTAAATTTGGATAAAAGTTACCACTCGCTTTTTTTTTCCTCACTTTTTGAGTTTATAATTGTCAGATCATGTCCCATAAATGGGTAGCCCTTCGAAAAGGGATTCAAGATCAGCTGAAAGTACAACTAGAGCAAAACATCTCACATTTCTCTACCATTCCTACTCACTGAACTACTCCCACACTTTCTAACAAAGGTGGTTTATGACTGAAGATCAAGTTTATGACTTTCGAGACAAATGAATGTGATTGGCTGTGTATACAGGTCTTTGCTACTAATATCAGTAGGAAGTGGAAATCCACGTGTTTGATCCAGGTTTAAGGGGACTTTCATTTTCATCTCCTTCCCATGTTAACTCCCCAAACCCTGTGTGCCTCTAGATTCACTGTACCCGGCACGATACTAATCTTCAGGATGCAGTGGTGAAAAAAAGCATACCTGGGCCATTAATCCATGAAGTGACAGTCTAATAGGGGACTGGAAAACCTGAAATCTACTGTGGAGAGTTAATTAGGGATATTCTGCTTTTTACAAAGTTTCTAGGATAAAAGAGCTTACAGAAGCAAACAGGAATTTTCTCTTCATGACTAGTTGCTCACATATATTCAAACAGAATTTGTTTTAGGGGAAAACAAATTATATTGCTCTTTTCCTTGCCTTGCAAAGAATGCCAAAAAGGAAAGAGCAGAAGGAAAATGAGAGCACGGAGGAAAGGAGAGAGAAAGAAGGAAGGGACAGGGGAAGAGTGGGGATGAAGGAAGGGCAATGAACAATCACCGCTATTTGTCTAAACTGTGTAAAAGGGTCCTTGAATCTTAACATTGATACAATTTGATAAAAAAGAAATAAATTAGGAGAAGCCATGTCATATACATCACAGTTTTTTTCTATTTTATACTATTTAAACTATTTCTGTATTGCTCTGATTCTCTTGAGATGAATGCATTCTTTTCTTTCAAGTGTGTTCATGCTGACAATAAATTTCACCTAAATGTCTCACGTTTTCAAATGTCCTAGATATGCAGTGGTCTTCCATACACTGTCTTCCTCTCTTTTCCTATGTTTTGGATATATACGTTGTTCTTAATCATTTAAGGAAAAAAATGTTCGTGCATGTGAATGTTGAAATTGCTTTCATAAGACAACCATTAAAAGTTCAGTGCGTATAAAGAATACAGCTAGTAAAAACTAACTTCACACAAAACATAGATTTTAGTGCTAATTTCCCAACATTAATTTGAGCGCTGTAGCCAATTCAATGCTAAGCAGAGCACACTATGGTTACAATTGGCATATGTGCACCAACTAACTTGCTATTTCTAGATTTATGAAAGTATACTGAAATATACACACATATAATTATTACCATATCCTTTCCCAACAATAGCTATAAGACTATCTAAAATACCTCATTGTTAAACACGGGTACAGAATAGGCATGTTGTACATCACAACCTTCACAAAATTCCATTTCTCCAGGTGGCATGCATGAAGTTTACTTTATATTATGGGCAGAATTTTCTGAGAAGTCTTTTTCAGGCCTTAAATTTTAGCTGTCCCCCCGTTTCCTTGCTTTAATCTGAAGACGAATATTTTCATTAAAAACAGCATATAGACAATAATTTTATATATTATATGAGATTTGAAATTAGAACTCAATACAAATCTCCCAATCATTATCTGTTAGCTCAGAGATCAAGGCAATTTTCTTATTTTTAAACCTCTGATTTTTGATCTGTTAAGCTCCCCAGATTCCATAAAAAGATTTTAAAAAATAAAATTTAAAAATTAATAGAACAACATTATTTACTCTTTGTGACACTCCAGTTCTCTAGCCTTACTGATTCCAGGGTTGGGGGAAAAGGAGGGGCAGAGAGAGAGGGAGGAGGGAAAGGGAGAGGACCGGGGAGGCACACAGAGGCACAAAGAGACCAAGTTATACTTTGGTTCTATTACACAAGTGCCCACAGTTTGTAATGGCTAAAACTTGGAAACAGTCCATTTGCCCAGCAGTTGGAGACTGGATAAAGAAGATGTGGTTTTTCTATAAAATGGAATATGACTCAGCCACAAAGAATGAGAAATTAGATTCATTCATAGGAAAATGGATACACATTGAGGATATACTCCTAAGTGAAATAAGTAAGTCACACATGTGTAAATACCCAATAGTTTATCTGGTGTGAATAAACTGTAATAGTACATAATATCCTAATGATATAATTGGCAGTGTGAAATAGGAAGGAAAGGGATAAAAGTGTTGGGAAAGTGGGAAGGGTAGGGGAAAGGTAATAAGGGAAAAGAAAAAAATACGAGAAAATGAAAAAATGGAAAAAAAAGTGTTTGTAAATGGGGAGGGGAGAAAGGGGTGAAGGGAGGGCAGGGACAAGGGGAAAAAATGAGAATCAAGACCTGTCATGTAATGGTACAAGGTCCCAATAATGAACGTAACTGTACTGTATACCTCAAATGTACCAATAAACTCAAAGAGGGAAAAAAAAGTGCCCAAAGAGAAAACAAACCAAGTGTAATATATATATATATATATATATACATTAGAATCAGGTTCTTATTGTATTTGATATATTATTGAGTTATATAAATATGTAAAATCATAACTAAATGATTAACATGTTAATGTAGTTCTGTTATTTTATGTTGATATTTGAAAAAATATTCACTCAAACTTAAACTTTAGTATGTATGTCTTATCTCAGCTTTGTGTTTTCTCAGCGCATATTTTATTTACTCCTGAGATTCATTGAGATGGAAATTTCTGGACAGAAATATGATACTATTGGTTGTACTGCAAGTGTCATTTACATAATATCATGCATGATATTCTTATACCTGCATTTGGTAGATATGTATTTGTAGTTTCCCTCTTCTAAAAATGATCATAGTTTTCTATTTTAGTTTTCCATTTCTTACATATTCATAAAGTTTGGGATATCTCACTATGTGTGAACACTGTGTTTATTCCTTTAGTTATAATGGGATAAGAGAAAACGGAGAGTATTTAAATAATATATGTATGTATGAAATAGTTTATTTTATCAATATACCTGAGTTTTGCATCAATATAATGTTACCTAATATAGAAATTTTAATTCACATATACTTTTGACTTGGAGGAGCATTGTGTAAAATCTTATCTTTTGCTTGATGCCTTTAGCTGGGGTTCCTCCTTTTGTGGTTATAGACTGAGATCCAGGAATCAATTCTACAACCTCCTCTAGAACACAGTATTTCAGAGAGGAGTGCAGCAGAGCAGGCTCCTCTGCATAGGTCCAAGTACGCTGTGCTATCATAGTAGGGTTCATACTTTACTGTCTTCTATAGAGAGGAGCTTTTTCTCTGTGATTCCTTTTCTTGGGTGTCATCTGCCTTCTTTCACTAGTTTAGTGAATCTGCTGAACTGTAGGTATTTGGATATGCAAAATAGGTTACATTATATTGAGAGTGAAAGGATGTGTGATTCTAGCTGGGAGGTTGGAAGTTCTCCACTAGGACACTGAGAACTGGCTGTGGCCAGAGCTGATTTGGAGACAGAATAAACTGACACATTTTACTATATAGTACAAAACACATATGCTGTAAAAGGTAGTAAGAAAATAATCATGAGTGTACTCACCACCAACCCCAAAATGCACAGTGAATATCCGTGTTAAACCCTCCATCTGACCTTCCATTGTTATGTCCTCTGCTCCCACCAGCCATCTTAGAGTTAACTGCTGTCTTGGATACAATTATGAATGCCGCTTCTTTGATTTGCTTCATACCTTCACTATATACATATATGTGTATTTTTAATAGTGCAAGCTTTTAAATTTTATGAAATAGCAGCATTACATGCATTGTTATGCAACTTTCTCTTCTTTACTCAAAAATTTGTCTAATGCATGTGATGTTTATAAGGGTGAAAATGACATATTCACCATAGTCTTTTTATATTGATATGCCATTATATAAATTTATCATCCTATATTTATCTTTTGCATAATTTATTTTATCTTTTGTGTGTTTGTGTTTTGGTGCCAGGGATTGAACTCAGGACCTTGTACTTTCAAAGCAGGCATGGCACCAATGAGCTAAAGCCCCAGCTCCCTATCTTTTACACATTTCTTCATAGCTTCATAATAGATTTTGAGGGTATTTATAATTTTTTCAGATTTAAGCAATGTTCTCTAA